TTATGTCAAAGAAAAGCAATATGTATGTATTACAAAAACCAAATATATGCATAGGTAAATTGATTCAGGTATCTACAGGTATTTGTTTTATAAAATACATGAGAAAATCATTATCACATGCATGTGGTTATTATTAGTTATTTTAATACATTATATATGTAATATGTAGAAGCAGTGAGGCACATAAGTATGTACGTTCTATGCTCATCATAAATATAAATGTATGTAGACTTATATACTCGTTAACTATTATACGTTCTATAAACACATGAGAATTAATAACATGAGTTAAAGTCATGTAGTATAGGTACATAAGCAAGTGATTTAATATTATTATTACAGTATGTATGATGCATAAATATGGGCAAATACTTAAAAAGAGCGAAATCATGGAAAATTCTTTATTTATTTTAAATTAGATTTAATTATTATAATATAGGTAAATAAATTTATTTAAATTATATATTATTTTACTACCTATAATAATTATTATTTTAATGGGATTATATTGAGAATGAAGAGTTATACACTCAGTATATAAGTAATAATAAAAAGACCAATAATAATCATAATTAGATTATGAAGTTTGATTTTACGGCACATACATACATACATACATAGAAATGTTATATCACATTCATTCATACAATATTCAATATTCATTTTGATATTATTGTGTAAGTGTATGTGTTTTGCAGTAACACTTTATATAACTATTATTAAAAAATTAAATTTTTGTTTATATAACATGACTTTTAAGACGATTATTTTTTTTGGTTTTTCTCTCTTTTATTGACAGTTCATTAACACTTTCATTATAGACCCCAAATAAATATTTGTAGATGTATATATAATAGAAAAATAAATATGTATTTAAATATATTAAATGCGATGATTGACGATAATTAAATCTATAATATGAAGTTGATTTAAAAAAGGTGATAGTACAACAACAACAACAAAAAAGTTTTCATTATTCTTAAATTTAAAAAAAAAAATAATAAAATTAATTTTTGATTAATAATTAATTATAATTAAAATATAAGCGCGAGTAGAGTCTCTTATAATATAAAAGTTTTTCGAAATTTCTCGCTCATTTACGAGATTTTTACGGAAAATTTTATTGAATATTGTAATTTGTATTTTTATGTATGTATACTTACGATAATGCAATTATAAGCCAGGTTCCGAAAGGTTTTAGATCTTATATTGTACGTAACGTACTTTAGTAGCTGCTGTTTTATATAAAAGATTGAGTGATTCGTACGAGCTATTATAGTAGTAGAATGAGAAACTCAATTTTCTTACCACTCTTCCTCTCTTGCTCAAATTATTATTGCGAGAATCTAAAATTTGAAATGAAAGAACAATATATCTTATTCTTCTATAATTACAATACAACAATGCATGCAAAAAATATTTACTATACAAAAACTTCAGAAACTCATTCATTATTCAATTATAACTCATTTAGAGTAAAAAAAAACTCATATAATTCCAGTTTTTTTTTTTTTTTTGATATACTTACGTACTATTCACTGTTAGAAAGAGATAAAATTTCCACCCACATATGTTTATTAAACATGTTGTATGTGTAAATATTTTTAATATTACACTACCATTTTGTAATCATCTTCAACATTTTATTATATTATTTTTGCTTAACACTATAAAAGTCTAAAAAGACATAAAAAAAAAATCTATGAGTATGTTTATATGCCCGCCACAATATTCAATATCTTGTAGGTCGATGACAAGATGTTGTTTGACGAGTTTCACTCTTCTTTTATTCTCGTTATAAACTTTTTAATTTAACCATTTATATATTCGTACCATTATTTTGTTATACAGTCATTAATTGAGAAATGAGAACAATATTTTTATGCATTTTTCTATACATACTTATACATGTATAGCGTGGTATTGTAATTAATACTCACTTTTATAAATATTTACTACTCATTCCGTGTAAGAGTTCTTTTAACTTCTTAGTGTTAGTGTTATGCATTTTACATGAAATCTTTTGAATTTTGCGCTCATTTTGAATATTAGAACTAAACATTTTGCATAAAATTCAAAATATAAAATTAAAAATATTTTAAAATATTTTTATTTATTTAAAAAATTTTACTTAATTTTACTTAAATTATGAATGAAATTGATTTAAAAACTTTCAAAAATCTTCAATTTTGATTAAAGAAATTGTGATTTAAAAATTATGCATGAGAAATAAGTAAACAAAAAAATGTTTTGCTCTCTCATATATTTTCTCATTTTTCTCAAATACAAGTTAGTTATTAAAGCATGTATGCGTATGTTTGTATATCATAAAATACCTATTTTGAGGTAAATAAAATAATAATAATAAAAAATCTCATTAAAAGCCGGTTTATCTGTAAACAAAATATTCTCAATTCTCATGAAAAGCCATAAAACAATAAACATTTGTATGTATGTATGTATATAAAATTAAAATCGAAGGAATTGGTCTTTTATTATACATATGTATGTATTTATAATTACAATTATGTTTGATTTACTCTAGTAGTTGAGTAGTAATAGAAAACAAAGAAAAAATTCTCTCAAATAAATTTATACTACTTATTTTAACACTCATTTTTTTACTCGGTCTTTTGAATAGTGTTGCACATTATTGTACTTTTGATACCTTTTCAAAGAATAATATTTCAATTTAAAGATTGAATTTTTTAATTAAAATTTTAATTTATAATAATTTTATTTAATTGTTACAAACTAAAATAAATTAATATTCAACCATTTCTTGAAATTATAAAATAAAATTTCATAAAATTAAAATCCATCATTACTTACTTAAATTAAGAGTGCTTAAAATGCACTACAACAACAAATATAACTTCATACCCCATTTTTCATATTCAATCGAATGGTTTCATTCATGAATTTCGTTTAATGTAGTTTTTCGGAAACTAAATTAGTACGTTTTTTACTCTCAATTCTCTTGAGTAAAATTACTTGAGCGTTTTTCATTAGTATACTTTTTAAGTTCTTTATTTTAAAGTTTCTAGAATTTCCATAAAAAAAAAAAATTTTGTATGATTTTCGGAAACTAAAATATTCTCTTAAAGAAGATATGCAATAAAAAATGTTTGAGTACAATCATATATACATAATATTATGTTTAGATTTGAGTGAAAATAAAAGAGAATATTATTGTTTAGTTTTACCTACAATGTTGATTTTCAAAGTTGTTTTGAAATTGCTAATTAAAATTCTTTAACCATCAACTGTCGATTTATTTGTTCCTATTGTATCGAACTCAAATGAAAGTTGGATCTATTAAGTTCCGATTTTCAAAAAAATATTGAACTACCCATAATAAATACATAGACAGAACAATTTTTTTTTTCATATGTTTACAGTTCTATTTACAGAACTACAGTAATACTAACTTTACCTTTATACAATTCTATTTACAGAATTTTGTCTTTATACAATTCTATTTACAGGACTGTATAAAGATAAAGCTATTGTTACCGAAGTGTAATGATTTTTTAAGATTTGTTATTTGAAATTTGAATATTGAATTAATTGTTGCCTCTGAGAACTCTGAGAACGTCCTAGTTGATCTAATGAGATACATTTAATTTAAGGATTTGTATTAACTTTAGGGTTAATTTATTTTGTAAATAAAACAGGCACATGCTCTAAATCTCAGTAAATATATCAATATGATTTACAAATACAAATATACCATTTAAAATTAGTAAAATGAGTGAAAATTTTAGCGTATTTTGTTTTGCTTCAAATATAATAAAACCGCTCAAGGTATCATATGTTAATTTCAAGTTAAATATTAAAATACTCATTTCAATATCCATGTAGATTCTCCCATTCAATGGTATATATTAGTATCTCTTAACTCCTTTCAACAAAATCAAAACAAATTGAATATTAAAAAATTACTCAAAAAAAAAAACTCAATTGTATCAAAATATTTTTACATTTTTATTTTTTTTTTCTTTTTCCACCAAAAACCTGAATATTATTGAAATTCTTAATGAATAATTTTATTTAGTATTGAAAGCGGCGTTCGTATATGTGAGTCGAAATAAAAGTTTTAAGGTTGGTTATTCCGTCGGTCATTTTATTCTCGAAAACAAAAAACAAAATAAATAAATAAAAATTATGTACGGCTTATTTTTAGAATAATTCAAAAATCTTTTAATTTTTATTATTGCTTTTTGGGAAAAAAATGAAAAATAAGATTTTCATTTATTTTCAATTGCAATTTTTTGTAATTTTGTAAAAAGGTAAATTTTATTAATTAAATTTAATCATCAAAAATTTTGATAAAGAATAACAGAATATTAGAAAAGAAGCGTGCGGTCATAACGAGCGTAATATAGTAATTATACTTCATTATTATAAAATTAGTGTGTATTTTGATTTTGGCTCAGTGTTATTAAAATCTGTCAAGTGTGTCGATTTACAATTGGTAAAAAATAAAAGAATAATATTAATTTATTAAAAGCGAATTGGTTTTTCTACATAAATATAATAAATAAATATTAATTAAAAAATATAAAATAATTATTAGTAGTGAGTGAAATTTTTATGAAAATTAATTAAAGTGTCAAATAGTTTACAGTTTTTCTCGAAATTTACTGTAAGAATCGAAATAAATTGCTTATTTATCGTACTGCAGTGATGAGCGTTGTAAAATGAAAAATTTTCCAAAATGGGCATTTGATTAAAAATGAATGTAAATAATTTAATAATAATTATTATTTAAAATTATCATTTATTAATTCATAAATAAATAAAATATTCATAATCAATAGAGTCATACTTCATATATTAAATTTAATAATTATTATGAGTGTAATAAAATATTAAAATAAAAATCATATTTCTATTCTAAGCTCAAATTTTTAAAAATTATTTCACAAATGAATAAAACATAGTAGGTTCTCAAAATAACAACATTTCTAATAAAAGGAAAATATTTTAATAAATTATAAAAAAATTTAATTATTTTCACACAAAATCTTTAATATAATTAATTTACGGAAAATTTCTCGTAATCATCATGGATCATTTTAATAAATTAATTAAAATCTCAATAATATTATCGATATTAATTAATTTATGTATATGTGGACAACGTTCATCATCTTCAATATCATCAACTGGTATTAATAATGGTGGTGGTATCGGAAATAATAATGGTGTTGGTATTAGCGGTGGTACATCACATTTTGTACAACAAAATGGTGAAATAATATCAGAACATAGTCAATTATCTGGTAGTGAAGATCTATTTCCACATCATGGTCGTTGTGAACCAATTACAATATCAATATGTAAAGATATACCATATAATATGACAATAATGCCAAATATAATTGGTCATACAAGACAAGAAGAAGCTGGTTTAGAAGTACATCAATTTGCACCATTAGTTAAAATAGCATGTAGTGCTGATATACAATTATTTTTATGTTCATTATATGTACCGGTATGTACAATATTAGAAACACCGATACCACCATGTCGTGAATTATGTGAATCAGCAAGACAATGTGAAACATTAATGAAACAATATAATTTTAATTGGCCAGAAAATTTAGAATGTTCAAAATTTCCATTATTAGAATCAAAGGAAATGTGTTTACATAGAAATAATACAACAACAACACCAAGTCCAATACGTACAAATACACCAAAAGTTATACATACACGTAAAGGTTTTATTGATGGACAACCTCATCGTAATATTGGTTTTGTATGTCCAGTACAATTAAAAACACCATCCGGTATGGGATATTCATTAAAAGTTGGTGGAAAGGTAAGTCTTATTTTAAAAATTTTTTTTTTATTAATTTTTAAATTTATTGAAATGATAAAGAGTTCTTACTCTTTTAAATTTTGATTCTTGAATATTATTATAATTTTTTTTTAAATTCTAGGGATTCTTCCCTCAAAAATTTAGTTGTTTTTTGATTTTTCAATTAAAAATTTTTTGACTGATTAAGTAAATTTAATTGGATCAAGTACACGTTTGTTAATTTTTATAGCGTTTTCTGGGTTAGAAAAGGGGAACTAAAACTTGCTGGCATACGAAATGCAAAAAATTTCTTTACTGAATTTTCAATTTTACTTTGAAAATAATAGAAGGGATTCGTAGTGAATTTTCTTTTAGTTTTTGAGTTAGAATAGGAGACTTGTACACTTTTATTAGAATTATTACTAAGTATAATTAATAACTAGCCTGTGATAACTGGCCTATAATATTTAATTAATGCTCAAATATTCTATTGTCGCTTTAATATTTTCCACCGAACTCACCTAATTTTAATTTAAAATTACTTAGTATTCTTAATACACACATTAGTTCCATATTTATTAGCTTATTAGTACACTTACATTGTAATCAAATTTTGTCGATAATATTAGTAAGTACCATATTTGAAAGATTTAAATATTTTAATAGTAATAGGGATAGCAAACTGTCTGGTTTGTCAATTGAGTATTCAAAAATATTAAAGAAATTTTTTACCAAATTCTACAGCAGAGTAACAATATTGAAAGATTGTTTTTGTAAACCAAAAATTCTTCATAAACGAAAAAAATAATTTCTGCAGGGGTAGATTTTTCCCTCATATTGAATAATTTAGAATTCTTCTTTGACTTTATTTGAAATTAATTATGTTCTATTCTAAAAATTTAAAATATTGTGTTAAATTTATATAGACAACATCGGATATTAAATGAACTTCCTTTAAGAAATGTAGGGCGAATTGTAGATTGCCTTAAAAACTTAAAAAATTAAAAAAAAAAATAATTAATAAGAAAATGTTCTTATATCGGTCTCTCTATCTCTATCATATATAGTTCTTAGAAAATATTGCATATCACGTTTTAATAGTTTTCAAAAGAAACTCGTACATACTTTACGGGTAAATGGTTAAAATACAAATTTCTAGAATCATTTTAACGCAAATTTTCTGATCAACACAACCATATGAACACTTACAAATATTTAAAAAAAAAACTTGAATTTCTTATTCTTGAATTTCTTATTCAAGGATAACAACCTTAAATTTCACTACTTACCTGCCATTTTATATATTTCTGTCCTAAATCATCTTCGAATGTGTCAGTCATTTTACATTTATTACTTATATGAGTATCACAATTGTAGGCTATATAAATGCATATATATATGTACATATATTTGTAACAAAACATAATAAAACCATAAATAACTAGGATAAAAATAAAGCAAAAATTGAGTTAAAAATCATGAAAAGAGAGGCAAAAAATACAATTTTTTTTTCTAAAGTATAGAAAAGAATTGAAATCGAAAATATTTTTATTTAAGTTTCATTTTTAAAAGAAAAACAAAATATACACGTATTCAATTCACCATCATCCATCCGGAGAAGATCATGACAAGAATAGAAGGAATATATGCATATGTACATATATTCACCTTTTTTTTTATCAAATACGTGAAAATGTGTGTGTGTGTGTGTAAATTACTTATAAATGTTGATTCTAGTTTCACCTGGCGTTTATTATAGGCTTGCCTTTGTGCTTTTTAAGCAAAAAAAAAAATTGAATTTTCCCATTCCAAAGATATACAGGTACACAACATGTAGATGAAACGGTGATAAGAGATTTAAAGTATAATATTTTATTATATATGCAATCTGTATACTTAGTTATACAAGGTGATTTTGAATGAAAGGGGATTTTGTATTTCGTGAACAAATTATCTATATAGATAGGTAGTGTATTGAAATTTGAGAGTAAGTAAATTTAAGAAACTGATTTAAAAATTTCCAAAAGTACCAAGAGTAGAATTGAAAGAGTAATGATGTTAATCTGGTCGATGCAACCGTTCTGCCAACAAAGAAATTCTGGTATATAATGGATATAAAAAGTAAAAGAGAAGGATTTGTGGGCAGACGCTCTTATGTGCAAAGCGGTGAGGACGCCCTAGCCTTACGGAGATGAAGGTGGGACAAGAGCATTATTAGCAATCAACAGAAAGCTTTAGTGTAAATACATTGTTAACGTTATTATGGCACCCGTCTTTTTTGACCGTTTTTTTACGAAAGTTTGGAGGAGCTATGGACGGTGTATTTGGCGCAGCTTTGTTAATTTCTAATTTTCGTTAGAACAGTAAATTGATGGAGCGAGGGGGGGGGGGCGATTATTATACGTATTATGTGACAGTTTCTGATGGGTCTTCTTGTAGACCTATATTGCATGGGCTTCGAGTGATTGGTTAAACGGGAACATTCTCTTTTATTAAGATTAAGTGAGAGTCAAGTTCTTTTACGGAGAGTAAAAGTAAATTTTTAAAATAGTTTTTTTGTGAACATGCAAACTCACCTTAAATGAACACCCTACATATACAATTAAATATGCTCATTATTGAATATTAATTTTCTAAAGGTATGACGTGATGACGTGAGGTTTAAAAAAAATCCTTCTGTAAGAATAAAGTATGTCCTTTCATGTTTAATTCAAAAATCAATACTACTTTTGGCAAACGTTTAATAAAATTCTAATTTTAAAAAGAATGTCCTTTGCATTTAATTTCAAGGAGCACCCTGCAAAATCGTATGTAAAGGCAGATTGATACATCTTCATACATATTTAATATTGAATACTGATATAGAAAATAGATATAATATGCATTCAAGTAGGTATTTACACACATATTTAGGAATATGTACACATTGCCATAGTTCATTTCATACCTTAAGGGTATTCGAATAAAATTTTTGTACATGAAAATTGGATACGTACAATAATAATAAATAGATTGTAGAAACGATTTTTTTTTGTCTGTCACTTGTAAAAAAAAGAGAAAAATGAAAACGAGTCTCGAAATGAAGAAAATTAAAAAATTGAAGTGGGCAGATTTTTTTTTTTATTTTTAAAGCAACAATGTCATAAATTATTTAAAGGAACATTAATTTAAAAAAATTTTTGTTTGAAAATAAAATAAAATAAAAGTCTTGTACTTTAATATAATAATACTTGATTAAAGTGTCTAAGAAGAGCAATAAATAAAACAGAATTCTTAAAATGGAGATAAAATTGAAAAGAAATTTTATATTTTAATTAACTTAAGAATTTAGAATAAAAATTAGTTGCCAAATTCTTATAGTAGATATTGTTAATTATTTGATGTCACGCATGGAAGATGTTTGAGAGAAATTTTAATGTTTACGATCAAAAGTAATATCGTAAAATCAATAACTTTATATAATCGATATTTGAATAAGATTGGTAATTGATTTTAGAATTTTATTGTAAAGCAATTTTAATTTCGAAATTTTAAAAAACTATAGAAACGTAGGAATAGCAATCTTCAACAGGAAAAGTAGAAATAGCAATCTTCAATTTTGCATATTTTTAGGCAAATTATGATTGAGCTATCAAATTCTGTATTGAGCCAATATTCATATAAGCGAATATATTTGAAATTTCATACATATGTATTACCGATTTTAAGAAATTTTAAGACAATTCTAGCTTGAAAAGCTTTGATTTTTGTCAAAATTTCTTAAAAATTTAGATGAACATCATATTTTTTTTTGTTTCGTTACCCCACTTAGGCGAGTAAGGAAACAATAAAAATATAACCTTTCCATTTGATTTTAGAGCTAAGCTACAATTTTGCAAGTCGTAACACCCAGTTTTACAGGCGGTAACCAGCCTGCCGTAGTTTTTTTGTTGGTATGCAATATCGAATATTAATTGTGGACATATGGGCGACTATTTTTTCTATTAGAATTTTATTTTATAATATTGTATAATATTAATAAGTATAATTAGTAACCTGACCAGAGTTTGAATTCGAGGCTCTTCGGTTACAATGCCAGTGCCATAACCACTGGTCCATTAGACCAGCATCATTGGCTAGATAGATAAATATCATTATTCTGTAGAAATTTTACATAGATATATTTTCTACTAAATTAGGCATATAATTTAATTATAATTACAAAGAATATTAAGTAGAAAGCATTAAAAATAAATTTTTAAATTTCAAATAGCTTTGTACGCTTGTCTATGTATACATACCCGTAGCAGTTCGAGGATTACTACTTACTGAACGTTTTTCTTTTTTTAATTTTTTAATTTTCTAAAACTTGGACGCTATAAAAGAAAATAATTTTACTTTTAAAAAAGATAATGAAATTAATTTCGTTTATTTTTTTTAGAACACAAAATTATGTAAATTAACACCCAATTACTGTTTACGATTAAGTATTTTATGTACTACTCTCATTTCAATTCTAATAATCTGAAAAATAGTATATATATACGACCATTAATTTATTTAATTTATGCATAATGAGTACTAAGTATACCGTTAACTTTATATATTTACATATAAAATTGTGTGTGTATTTGTTTATAAATACAAAGATCTTTTCTTACAATATCCTTTGTAATTATCCTTTTTCTTATCCATTTCTACAAAGAATTCATTACAGTAATTTAATTATAATTATTAATAATTATTTCTTATTAAAGAAATTTAACTGTTTTGGCACTCACTCTTTTTATGTTTAAACTTAGTTTGTTGCTTTTGTTTTCCGATTGATTTCAGTATAATAGTATTGAATTTTCTTTATCAATAAAAAAAATAAATTGTGTTAGACTTTAAGAAGGAATATTGCAGGAATTTAAGGAGTAGAAATTGTAGATGATATTATGGATTTAATGGAAATTATTAAAATAAATATTTCGTGTGTCCATCAGATGTAGATGATCATTTAAAATTTGAACACTGTCAACTTGTTCTTCTTTGAATATCGAAGCAAATAAATTTGAATTTAATAAACATGCAGTCAAATATCTAGTTGAATATTCACTCTTCTTAAGATAATAAATAAGGTATATGTGAATGTACCAGCTTTTACAATTAAGTATAACTTGAATAAGACGTATCTGGTCTTGAGC